TTCTAAGCACCCTTGCAACTGATCTTTCATTCCCAGCACACAAGTTGAAAATCTTTCTCTCCCTCTCTCGCACACATACCTCCTGTTTTCTTGCAAGCTTCTTAATATCAATACCTTACACTTCACACCCAGCTTCAGCATCGTCAACTAATTAATTCATGCATACATACCATTTATAGGCTACCCAACTCCCAACATCTCTGGGTAACTTACAATGAAAATGTTAAAAAAAAGACAAAAGACAAAAAGAAATCACGAGGGCCCCAAAAATAACATGTAACCAAAAAAAAAAAAAACACACCCACTCATCCAGTAGGGACTCAACCTTAACTCTGCCCCAAAAGCCTAGGAGAACAGCTACAGTAGGTCTTTAATAGCTTCCTGAACATCACCAGGGTGGGAACCATCTTGATCTCTAGCGGATATCATCCAGAGGGCAGGTGCTGCGACACTTCCTGGGTCCCACAAGATGACGCTCTACTGCTTGATCGATGGGACCCAAAGCACCCCACTCTGCCCACTCTTACTGGATGGGCAGAGGCAACCAGAAGCAGCAACCCCTCAAAAACCAGGCCCTGTGCCATGAAGGGCTGTAGAGGTAATAACCATGCCTTGAATTGCACCCGGGAGCCAACAGGTAAGCAACGCAGCTTACAGAGCACCGGGGTCGCACAGGGATAAGGAGGTGTGGCCATCACTGCCCGCACTGCTGCATTCTAGACCACCTGTAGCTTCTGAGTGGTCTTCAAGGGCAGCCCCACGTAGAGTGCATTACAGCAATCCATTTGTCAGGTGACTGAGGCGCGAGTGACTGTCTGAAGGGCCTCCCAGTCCAGGAAAGGACGCGACTGGTGCACTAGCTGTACCTGTGCAAAGGCCTCCAGGCCTTCACTGGTCAAAATGGGCTTCCCCTTTTACACACCAGGGACATGTCATTTGGAGGTGAGGTTAAATTGGCTTCAGATACAGGATGCTAACCTATCTAGATTTTTACCCCCCATCCGACCCCCATGTGGTACAAGACCAGAATCCCAATATTCTCGCTCACCGGAAGACAGCCAGGCACGTGGCGGGGTGATTGTACAGCCGATCCAAAATCGCAGGGCTGAGGCCCCGCAGGAATTCGTGAAGGTTCTTGCATTTCAGCTGCACTCTTTGGAGTTTCATCACTGACTCCATAATGACAGCCACCGTTCATCACTGGGACATTTTTCCGCAGAGGCTGTGATAGCTGAGAGAAAAACATCTGGCGAATTCAGTAAGGCAGTACGCTCACAGTGCACGAAACTGGCACTGGGATAAGCACAAAACCACATTTTCTAGGGAAGTCTGTGAATCAAAATACACACCCAGAAATGTATGGTACAGGTAGCCCCCAGTTTAAGAACGAGTTCTGTTCCCAAGATCTGTCCTTAAGTCGAATTTGTATGTAAGTCGGAACAGTATTATTGTATAATAG